TCCCTGGGTGCGTGGCTGAAATTGGATTCCGCGATGCAAATTCTTGTTGTTGGCGTTGTATGTTTGTTGTGGCCAAGCGTCGCCCCCCCCCTGCGACGCGGCCCGCGACCCGCCCGCGACCCATCCCGCGACCCGCCCGCGACCCACCCGCGACCCACCCCGCGACCCGCCCGCGACCGACCCGCGACCCACCCACGACCCAACCGCGATCCACCCGCGACCAACCCGCTCTAACATCTACCCTATACTCTACTCTGCTCTACTGTATCACTGTTCCCTATTAATAAACACCCCCTCCCCCAGGCGACTGGGGGCCAACCAGGGTCCATGCCAACCCTCCCCCCACCATCCCTTATAAAAAGCAATACAAAAACATACTCTGCCTCCAAATTCGAAACATGCGCAGCCAACCCGATGCGGCCCCCCCCCCACCATCCCTGTCAAAAAACAATACAGAGTACACTTGGCGGCGGCGGCGGCTACGGCGGCTGCGGCGGCGGTGGCGGCGGCGGTTTGGCAGCGGGGGGCGGCGCCGGCGGCGGCGGCGGCGGCGGCGGCGGCGGTTTGGCAGCGGGGGGCGGCGCCGGCGGCGGCGGCGGCGGGCGGCGGCGGCGGCGCCGGCGGCGCGGCTGAGGCGGCGGCGGCGGCGGCGGCGGCGGCGGTAGCGGTGGCGGCAGCGGCTGCGGCGGCGGCGGCGGTTTGGCAGCGGGGGGCGGCGGCGGCGGCTGCGGCGGCGGCGGCGGCGGATTGGCCCCCAGTAGCTGCCCATTCCAAGACGGCTGCTGAATATGCTGAGGCTCGGGCCAGACTCGGGTGCTACGTATGTGTTGGGAGGGCGGGTGGGAGTGAGCGAGACGGCTTGCGGGCGGGGAGGGGGTAACTTGACCCTACCCAACCCTGCCCCACCCTACCATGCTCCTACTTTCCTCTACTCTAGTCTGCTGTACCCTATCCACCCCTACTGTGATCGACCCTACTGCACTTTTCTCTATGAGATTATACGATACTTCTGAATTTGACGATTTGTGGACGGCCGTTGGGCCGCCAATGAAACAGGCGCTGGAAACCATTGACATAGCAGAGGAAAGCATACGGATTGAGAGGACGCCATGCGGATGACAGAGGAAGCAATGTGGACACTGCAGACACCATGCGTATATAAGAGGAAGCCGTGCGTCGCAGAGGAGACCATGCGCAACAGAGGACGCGTGCAGGGGCAAAAGTAAAGAGGCGAGGGGACCAGTGGACTAGTTCTCGTCGCATTGAGCTCTCGCTCCTATGGGCAATTGGCAAGCCTGGTTGGAAAATTAGCCTGGCGAAGGACCCAACTGTCTGCAGTTGTGAGGACCGCAATGGTGAATGCCGCTTCTGGTGGAGCTGACTAGGAGGGCACGAATCGTGCGACGTGCGCGGCGAATTGTAACGTGTGAGGCGTGCGATGCATCGGGTGCGGGTACGCTATGTGGACCCTGCCGCTGGGGCCTTCGGTGGAGCTTCCTATGGGGTCACGAAGCGTGTGAGGGGTGCGCCGAACGCGGAGGAGGGGCAGGAGGAAGGAAGGAGGGAACGCGGGGACAGTCTCTTGAAAACGAGGACTCATCACCACAGGATGGCTGGGAACAATGAGAAGGGCCTGAGAAAACTGGGAGGGGCTCGCGAGGAAGAGGAGGAGCGGAAGAGGAGGCGGGGAGCGAAGTGGAACGGCTGCCATACGTCCGTCCGACGGGGCGGCTCCCTGGGGTGAGACGCACGCGGAGAGGCCGAACTGCATCGGATCTTGCAGCGGTGGGGCAGCGCAGCGATATGCGGTATGGCAGGAGCGCCAGGGAGGCGGAAGGACGGAGGGGAGGCCGAGAGGAGCAGAGAGGACAAGGAGACGGAGGACGAGAAGGAGAGAGAGCAGAGGAAGATTCACACTACCACCCCGACCCCCGTACTCTTTCCCCTGCTCCCTGCCCTGCTTGCATCCCGGCCTCCTGTCCTCCCGCCCCCTTCCCCTCCTTTGTTCCTTCACTTGCCCAACTCGTCTCACTTTTGTGCCCTGATTCTGCATCATTCCCTGCACTTGCCTTGTCCCGACTGGTTCCTCCCCCGATTCCCCATTCCGGTTTCCTCGCTCCCCCCCCCCCGTCTCGGCTCTCTATACTCTGCCCTCTGGTCTGCGCTTGTCCTCTGCAAGTTTAAAAAGACGTGGTAAAGTGCGTGCACGCGCGTATGATTGGGTGGATATGTATCTACTATGTATGCATGCGCTCAGGTTCCGATTGGTTCCGAAGACAATAACCAGATCAATGAAACCTATACCGCGTTATCTCCCGGAGTCTACCGTTTACGATTCCCGGATTTTCGGGCGGATGCTGCGAAGCTGAAACCAAGGTCTGTTGTAGCGTACCTACCCCCTTTCTGTTACCATGTCTCTTCCTCGGGGGCCACAACGTCGTCGTCGTCGTCGTCGCCGTCGTTCTCAACCTGTGTTCTGGAGCGGCGGCTCTGGAGCATGGCGGACTTGGGGGCGTCCTCCGTCCGCTCCTCGTCTCCGTCGGCTGTCGTCGTCGTCGTGGCCGTCGGATAAAAATCCTGTAGGGGTAGGCTACCCAAGGCCCTGCCCTAGGCTCTAGGGTATCCTGGATAGGCCCTACCCTTGCCCCATTGGTAGCCTAGAGTAGGGCCTACGTAAGCCTTTGGATAGCCTGAGGAAGCCCTGCCCAAAAGTCCCAAGGATAGGCCTAGGGTTGGCCTACGGGGAAGCCATGGGAGCACGCCTGGGGTAGGCCTGGGGGTTGGCCCTCGGGGTATGCAGTACGAATAAGCCATGGTAAGCCTATGGGGTAGGCCCTCGATGTACGTGGGCCTAGGAGTAAGCCAAAGCAACCCTCTCTTCCGACCTGCCCCCCGCAACCCAGGCAGCCAGTGGATCGACGTCTTGAAAGCTGGCCCTCGCGGGCCCGGACCCAGCGCTCTTCGGCGGCTTGTTGGAAACAATTTGGCCGAAAGGCCGAGAAACCTCCGATGTTCCAGGGGCCGCGTCGGATAACATAAAATCGTGGACGTGGACGCGCGCCGTCCTGGACGCTTTTCGGGCTCTCTTGGATGACATCCCAGGGGCGCCTTGCTCCAAAAGCGTTCCCAAGGCTCCCAAGAGCGTCCCAGTAGGGCCCCAAGAGGCGCCCAGACGGCGCCAGGAGGCCCCAACAGGCGCCCCAAAAGGCCTCCAACAGGCTCCCCAAAGACCCCCAAGAGGCCCCAAGAAGCTCTCCAAAGCACCCAAGACGCTCTAAGAAACGTCCAGGACCGCCAAGAGGCCCCCAAGACGCTCCACGAAACCTCCACTGGGGGACCCTTCCTCTGTGTGCTGCCCACTTCCCTGATGGCGAGGCGACAACTAAGCGCGGCCGAGGCCTCAGGGCGGGCTGCCGGGGCTGAGCTGAGGGTGACTGCCGTGTGCACAGCAGCAAGTCAGTCGGGCGTCACGCGTCGGAGAGTCAACGAAGGCCAGGGACAACACCGAGAGAGATAATGTGGCACCGAACCTCAGACGACGGCGTGGGCACCACGGTGGCCAAGGCCAACGAGACGTCGGTCGAACTCGTGAAGAGAAATGCAAAGGCGAGGCACCGGACGGCGCGAAACGCGAAGACCAGGGTGGTCCAAACGACCGTCGACCACCGAATTGTTGCCAGAGGCGACGCGCTGGCAGGCTGCAACTCCCAGGGTGGCGGAAGCCGAATGACCCCTGGCAGCAGCGAGCACGAGTGCGGGGAAGCGGCAACAACTGGTGGGGTTATTTTTTTTGTTCAGCGGCCCGTATGGAAGTCCAGAGGGCGTGTCCATCGGGCAAACTGGGGCACGGAGCCAGATAATTGGTGCACATGCAGTACAAATTGGAAGGAAGAGCAGAGGGCGAGGCAGACCAGAGAGCCGGGCGGCGCGGGAAGGGGCGACAGAAGACGGAAGAGGAAAAAGAGGGGGCCTCACTCACTGAGCACCGCGTGCTCGAAGGCAGAACTCCACTGACTCCGGCGACGGTAGACATGGCGTGAATCCCACGTGGCAACTGTCACCCACCGGGAAGGGGGGCTGGTGGGGTTACTTTTTTTTAAACAGCCGCAGGCGGAAGCGCCGGCGGCAAGGGGTCACGGTCGGGCTGCGGCCGTGACGAATTACCCGGGCGCGCGCGGGGGCCGCGGATCAGGCGGCGGGGCAAGCAGCCACCCAGGGCGTCTGAGAGGCCAGGCGGTCGTGCAAGCTGCAACCCAGGGAGTCTGAAGGGTCAGTCACCCAGGAAGCAAAGCGGACGCGGCCAAAATGGCGCGCCGTACATTCCCAGTCATGGGTCGTGACAACCGACAACCGCATGGTGGTGGGGTTACGCGAAGCGTCTAGAATTGCTCTGAGGTGCCTCACCAAAGACAAACAGTCTCACCGCTCGTGGGATGGGAGCGCGAGCGTGAGCGGTGGTGCAGAGCTTTTTACTGGCGCCCGGGTGGTTCCGAGTTCGAGGACCTCCAGTCTGCCTACGACAACGACGCGGCCGCGAAGAGGCTGAGCGCTTGAGGGTCCCGCATGGACGAGCACAAAGTAACGCCTCTTCGACGAGGTCGAGGCGGAGACGACGGAGGACAAGGACGGTGAGGGGGCCAGACGCACGCGCACTACTACACCCATCGACGACTCGCGGAGACCACCCTGACCTGAAATACATGTCGCTGTCCCACACGTCATCCTTCTCCTCCTCCTCCTCCTCCTCCTCCTCTTCCGCCTCCTCCGCCTCATCCGCCTCATCCGCCTCCGCCTCCTCCTCCTCCTCCTCCTCCCTCCTCCTCCTCCTCCTCCTCCCTCCTCCTCCTTCTCCTCCTCCTCTCCTCCTCCTCTTCTCCTTCTCCTCCTCCTCCTCCTCCTCTCCCTCCTCCTCCTCCTCCTCCTCCTCCTCCTCCTTCTCCCTCCTCCTCCTCCTCCTCCTCCTCCTCCTCCTACCTTCCCTCCCCCCTCCCTGCGCCGTCCTCGGACGCTTGCACCCCATCGCGCCCCGGCCGCCGCACACCTTCCGGCCGGCCCGGGGTGGTGCGGGGCGAGCTCGGGGGAAGAGAGGGGGTAGGAGGAGGAGGAGGAGGAGGAGGAGGAGGGGAGGAGGAGGAGGAGGAGGAGGAGGAGGAGAGGAGGAGGAGGAGGGGGAGGAGGAGGAGGAGGGAGGAGGAGGAGGAGGAGGCGGAGGCGGAGGCGGAGGAGGCGGATGGGGCGAGGAGGCGGAGGAGGGAGGAGGAGGAGGAGGAGGAGGAGGATGAGGAGAGGAGGAGGGGGAGGAGGAGGAGGAGGGAGGAGGAGGAGGAGGAGGCGGAGGCGGAGGCGGAGGAGGCGGATGGGGCGGAGGAGGCGGAGGAGGAGGAGGAGGAGGAGGAGGAGGAGGAAGACCAGGAGGACGAGGGGGTTCATTTCTTGGCAGCCCATCCCGCCTCCTCCGCAGACCGCCCTCCTCCAGCTCGGAGGAAGGGAGGATGCAGACGACAGTGGGTATGAGAAACGGGGATGAGGGGGTCTGTGACGAGGGATGTGAGGAATATAGCAGGGGGCGGCAGAGGACGAGGCAGAGGAGGAAGGAGGAAGATGAGGAGACACAACTCCAAACATGTGCACGTGTTGGCCGTGGACGTTGCCCCCGATACGCACGTCCTTCATGAGCGCCGAGCGTCAACGAGCTCTGACACGGAGTAGAAAAGTGCGCTGGCTTCCCAGACCTCGTGTCGTGGAAACATCACGACGGGGGTCTGGGCTTCCTTCGCTCTCAGCATGCCGCGCGAGGAAACAGCAAATCGTGGAACAAAGGAGACGCTGGCGAGCTGGGGCATAGAGAGAAGATGGAACGGGAAGAGCAAGAAGCGACAGCAGCCAGCGACGGCAACGAAAGAGGGAGGGAGAGACGTAACCAACAGGAATAAAGGCTCGACCCGACGACATCCGAATATATGCCGGATGATATCGCCCCCACACGCGGTCGGACAAACGCGACGCCGACCAGTGGGGCCAAGAAAACGGCGATGTGTGAACCAAATGTGACAGATCGGCACCAGGAGTATAGTCCGGGAAAGTAGGGGGACGAGGTCCTGGAGACGTCAGAAGGGAAACCCAAAAGCGTTGATTTGATTGGATGCCATACAACACATCATATTATGTATGCGGAAGGCATGCTGAGGCATGGGAGTGGGGCCCCTTCATCTGCGGACGCATCCGCACCATTTTCCACTGGAGCGAAGCTACACCAAATGCATGAACTCGGTGTATGGTAATAGCAGTGCCGTGCTTCCTTCTTATCTCATGGAAGCTGGCAACGCGCCTAAACCAGAACTGATGCGGAACGATCACGATGCGGCCAAGGCCCTGCTTTCTCGTCCGGAGGGCGTCTGGCAGTTTCGAGCGCGAGGTACGCCAGGGCATGCCAACACATGGCGGCGGCCGTACCGTCCAGGACCAGGGATCAGACGTGGATGGATGCCAACCCGAGCGACCCCAGAGGCTGCAGAGCGTCAGAGGCGGTCGCGTTGAAGGGGGCACTCAGGGCTGGCCAAGCCGCCCGAAGCGTCCCCGTGGAGGGCAGACAGAACTGGCGAGGAGGAGGAGGAGGACAACGAAACGCTGCAGAGTGCACTCGCCCGGGGACGCAGTCGGCCGGAGGCCAGCCGCCTCAACGCTTGCGGCACGTGCCAGCGGCTGGGTGCGCGGTCCTTCCCAGCTCGGGAGGAGGGATGGAAAGTTCGCAGGTATACCCAGCATGCGAAGCCTGCACTTAGAAGAAGAAGAAGAAGAAGAAGGAAAAAGGGGGGCCCAGCGCGGATCCAAGAAACCCGCGCGGAGCGCCACGAGCTCATATTTATGATGTGTTTTTCCTTCGAGGCACCACTCTGTCCCTCCGCACCCGACCGCCCGACTCCAGGACCTTCGGCGACCTGCTGCGGGCCACGGTGCTCCCGCGCGGGCCCGAGCGGGCACGCATGCGGTATAATTATGGAACCGGCAGTGCGATTCGTGGCCCACGGCATTGTCCTGTTGTCGGGGGGCAGGGAGCTCGGGACCGTCCTGACCTCATCCAGGGAGCGCCGCCGCCAAGTGCAAGTGAGAACCAGGTCCACAAAATGCTCGGGGCAGATGGCAGATGGCCAATCGACGTCGGCTCTGCCAAACTCGGTAACGCGCACTGAATGGTCCGAGCAGCCTCGTGTGCTCGGGCTTGCGAAGCATCATTGCGGCATCCCTCGGCTGATCCCACTTCCTGCTCATCACGCCCACAGAGAAGCAGGGGGAGGAAGACGAAGACACCCCCGTCCTCGTCCTCGTCCTCATCCCCGTCCTTGGTCATGTTCTGCGTTCACGTCGTCCCCGCCCCATCCTTCTCCTTGACTTCGTCCACGCCCCCGTCCTTTTGTCCTAAGGCCCGTCCGCGTCCCCGTCCCAGTCCTCTGCCTCGTCCTCGCCCGTGTCCTCGCCCTCGCAATCGTCCTCCACCTGCCGCTCCTCCTCCAACTGCTGATCTCTCTGCTACTGGTCCTCCCCACTTCCTCCCATTCCTCCCCTCCCCTCCTCTTCCGCCCCCCCCCCCCTCCAACGTCCCCTCCCCCCCTCCCCACTTCTTCCCCCCTACGAGTGCGCATGATGAGCTACTCTCCTCCCTCTCCTGACACAGTCCTTTCGTGGCGCGCTCTCTCCCGCGTGTTCTTGCTCACGCGCACAATCTCAATGTGTAGCATGTGGCCCGTGCTGTCTCAAAACAGACCATGTGTTTCCACAGCGTGGTGATCCCGCTGCAGCGTTGGCCCCATTACAGAATCGCAATGGGGCTGTTTGGAGCACTCTCAATCATTGAAACTGGTGCTCCAGCTGCAGCGTTGGCCTCATGTCTGCCTCGACGGGGAAATTCAGGTTGTCCTTGGTCCTTCGAGATGGTGCCCTCCCCCCCTCAGCGCTGGCCTCCTTCCAGGATCGAAACTCTGCTCCCGTCGGTCTGGCCGGTGCTCTCGCAACAAAGCGACCCGCACCTCTGGATCGGACTCCTTCGTCGCTGCTGCCGTCCCACGCCTTTCCCCTCCTCCGCGTTCCCCGTCCTCCTGCATCTCCTGCTCCTCCTGCTGCGGCTGCTCCTCCTCCTCCTCCTGTCCCTTCGTCATTGCCATCCTTTTGCTACTTGCCATCCTCCTGCTCCTCCTCCTCCTCCTCCTCCTCCTCCGCCTCTACCTCTACCTCCTCCTCCTCCTCCTCCTCCTCCTCCTCCTCCTCCACCCCCTCCCCCTCCTCCTCCTCCTCCTCCTCCTCCTCCTCTTCCTCCTCCTTCCATTTCCCGTTGTACAAAGCCCCCCCTTCCTAATTGCGCATGACACGATGGGGCCGTTGGGGGATCAAGGGCCTCCAGGGCACCCCAGTTGGAGGGCAGAAAACAAATCGGCGCAGAGGAATGGAATTCGTGGAAGCGGTCGGATGCCAGACATGGCGCGAGCCCCCCCTAGCTTGATCCTACCCCCATCTCCTCGCTGCTCACTCTCCCTACCTTCCTTCTCTCCTCCTCCTCCTCCTCCTCCTCCTCCTCCTCCTCCTCCTTCTCCTCCTCCTCCTCCTCATCCTCCCTGCCTCCATACCTCGGAGGTCGTCTGGTCGGGCCTCGTTGATGGCTTTGTTGGCAAATCCGCATGGGCAGGTCCATGGCAGGGTGGCTTCTGGCCTCAACGGTGGGCAGCTACGGGGAAGGATGGGGGAAAGAGGGGGAGGGGGGGGAAGGAACATGAGGCGCGTGAGGGAGAGGACGAGGAGGAGGAGGAAGAATAAGAAGAGGAGGAGGAGGATAAGCAGGAGGAGGAGGAGGATGAGGAGAAGGAGGGGAAGGCGGAGGACCATGATACACTCAACCCATATCAACGATGCAGCAATACACCTTCCCGTCATCTGTCCCCTTCTCATACGTCCTTAGAAGCCAAGCTTCCCTTTCCACTTCAAAAAGCATTCCTTTCGAACAAACAACACACGATGGTGTTAAACTCAAGCGAAAGCGCCGTCTCGAAAAGGGACTGCGTTGCATCCTTCTAGCTGGTAGTCAAGGATGTGCAAAGGCATGATCATACAGTCCAACCGGGTGTCCAACGATATCCCCGTTTTGAGAGAACAACAAGCCACCCATCCGTGCAACTGTTGCGGACGGTTGCCCCATGTGGTCCTGCACGTCTGGGAAGTCTTCTGCGATAGCTCTACTGTTTTCAAGCCGCACCGCGTTCGTCTCACAAGACATGCCCACTCTAGGGGGCAAACAAACCTACCTCGCTTTTGACCACCCTCGCTTCCAAGGGATACCAAGCGATGCCAAACTACGGCTTGTACTGGTCAGGCCGCTTGACGAGGAGGCGCGTGGTATGACTCGGTTTTGCCTGGAAGCGAAAGCGGGGTAGGTAATTCACGCTCTGACACTCCACCTCCCGCGGGCTCCGCGCGAGGCGCCGCGGAGTGCATGCGGCGAGGGCCGCAGCGGGCGGCAGCAGTCGCCGAGACGGGCCGCTGGCTTCCGTCGCGCCGGGAAGAACTACGCGCGCGCCCGCGAAGAGACGGCGCGCGCGCGGGGTACGAGGCGGGAGGCAGTCGGAGCGCGGAAGCGGGAGCCCCATGGGGGCACGCGGAGGAGAAGGGAAGGAGGAAGAGGGTTTGGGGATCCTGATCCGCGGGGGGGGGGACACGGACGGGGAGGGAAGCTGGGGGAAATGGGGATTCAATGACGACCAGCACATACACGGCTCCGACATCGCCGTCGTCGTCGTCGCCGCCGTCGTCGTCGTCGTCGTCGTCGTCGCCGTCGTCGTCGTCGTCGTCGTCGTCGTCGTCGCCGTCGTCGTCGTCGTCGTCGTCGTCGTCGTCGTCGTCGTCGTCGTCATGGTCGTCGTCGTCATGGTCGTCGTCGTCGTCGTCGTCGTCGTCGTCGTCGTCGTCGTCGTCGTCGTCGTCGTCGTCGTCGTCGTCGTCATGGTCGTCGTCGTCGTCGTCGTCGTCGTCGTCGTCGTCGTCGTCGTGGTCGGTCCCCTGTCCATCCCTCTTGGCGTCGGGCTGCCGCCGGTCAGCCCGCCCGTCGGCACCTCGGGGCTCGAGCTGCACCCTTTGGGAGGCTGCCGCGTCTATAGCCCCGGCGGTGGCCGCCGCCCGCGGGCCCCGGGGAGCGGCGTCGGCCTCTCCCAGGGCCTCGGGTGCCCCTGGGGACTCCCAAGGCCTCGGGGCCTCCGGAGTCCTATGGGGTTCAGGGGGGGAGGAGGAGGAGGAGGAGGGAGGAGGAGGAGGAGGAGGAGGAGGAGGAGGAGGAGGAGGAGGAGGAGGAGAAGTAGGAGGAGGAGGAGAAGGAGGAGGAGAAGTAGCACGAGGACGAGGTGGAGGAGCAGGAGGAGCAGGAGGAGCAGCAGGAGGAAGAGGAGCAGGAGGAATAGCAGGTCTAGTAGCAGGAGAAGGGCCCCAGGGCCTCAAGGAGCCTCCCAAGGCCTATGGGGCTCACGGGTCCGGGGGGGCTCTCAGAGCCTCACGGGGGCCTTCCCAGGCCCTCGGCGCCGCGGCCTGTGCTGCGGCTCGGGGCGGCGCGCCGTCGTCTCCGCCGCACCTGCGGGAGGATCGTGGCCGACTTCGGGGCGGTGGCGCCGCCAGACACCCCCACGCTCCAGGATCGAGGCCCGAGAGGATCGAGGCCCGAGGATCGAGGTTCGAGGATCGAGGCCCGATGATCCAGGCTCGAGGATCGAGATTCGAGGATCGTGGATCGAGGATCGAAGTTCGAGGTTCGAGGGTCGAGGTTCGAGGATCGAGGTTCGAGGATGGAGGATGACGTTCGCAGTCGACGATGGCGAATGCGGCACCGTCCTCGTCGGCGTAAAGTGGCCGTGGCATGGCGGCGCGCGGCGGTCGCGGCGCGGCGTCTAGCCAAGTGACGCGCCCAACCACCTGGCGCGCTGATCCGAACGGGCCTCCATGTACATGTGGCGGGTTCCGGAAACCCTGACGCCGGCGGAAGCGGCCTCGTTTCACTTCCGCCGCATTCCACCAGCCTCCCGCCGCCTTCGCCCGCCTCTGGCCAAGGACGAGGTGGTAACCCGTTCGGTCCTTGAAGGCGCGGCCCTTTCCGGAACGCCTCATGTGCATGTATCGAAAGAGACCGCCGCCATGGCGACGCTTGGGCCGTTGCCGCCGCGCGCTCCCAGCTGGCGTTCCTAGCTCTGCTGGCACCGGATCGGCAGTCGTCAACATCATGGTGGCTGGTTGCAGACAGCACCCTGCTACAGCCCACTTGTCTCGGCAGCCCCGTGCGGGCTTGTTGTGCTTGGCCTGGACCATCCTGGTCCCGCATACAGCTGGCGCCGGCCCTCCGCAGCAAAGCCTGACGTTCCCGGCAACGTGACGGACAACGAGATGCTCCCGCTCCTGCCGCCCCGAGGGCCCTCTTCCTGATGTACTGGTTCACCTTGTTCTACACGCTTCCGGCGCCTGCAACCCTGGCTTCGGTCCCTGAGTGTGGCCGCAACCGCGATGCCGTCCCACACCCACTGCTGCCAGGCCAACTCTGGCCCGGCCGGCTGGCCGCTCCGACGCGCTGGCCCTGAAACGCTTTCAGCCTCCTCCTCCTCCTCCTCCTCCTCCTCCTCCTCCTCCTCCTGGCATTCCTCCTCCTCCTCCTCCTCGTCCTCCTCCTCCTCCCTCCTGTCACCTGCGGCCGCCTTTCCCCTCGCGCGCCATCGCTTGCAACCTGATAGGGAGGTACTGGCGTGTCCCCGACAGATCGAGCGCCCGTGCGGGTTGCCGCTGCCGTGCTGCGACGGGGAACGGTCGAGAGAGGCCAGGCGGACCTGGGCCACCGCCTTTTGCGCATCGTGCCCCGCCGTGCGCGGCGCAGCTGTCTTCGCGCCCCTGGGGGTGACCGAGCGGACGCAGAGTCAGCTGGACGACAAGGGCGCGAGCGTCTTCAGGAGTGCGGCCGTAAGCCCGGATTCTGTAGCGCTGGATCGTCCAGACATCCAGGGGGTGGAGGAGGAGGAGGAGGAGGAGGAGGAGGAGGAGGAGGAGGAGGAGGAGAAGTAGGACGAGGAAGAGGAGGAGGAGGAGGAGGAGGAGTAGGAGGAGGAGGAGGAGGAGAGAAAGGAAGAGTAGGAGGAGGAGGAGGAAGAGGAGGAGGAGGAAGAGGATGAGGAGAAGTCGGCCAGGGGCATGGCGCGCCCGGCTGAGAGGCAACACAGGGATGCTCGAGAGTTATAGTTTCATTACGCAGCAGTCACGCGCCGACGCCGGCATGGGCCTGGAGGCGGCAGGAGCTCCCAGGGGCCATCCTGCACTTCGCAGCAGGGCTCGAGTTAAACAGTGTTTTCCGTTTTCGTTTTGTTTTCGTCATCCCTAGTTCTGTCTTCGTTCCACATTTGCTGCAAAGCGAAGTCAAAACGAAAACGGTCCACGAAATTGCCAAAATACCGTTTAGCTCGAACCCTGCTTCGCAGGAGCTGGCCATCGCAGTGCGGTGCGGAGGCGCACACGGGCAGCAGCAGGCAGCTCTCAGCAGTGTTTGCCTTCTGGGAGCGAGCTGGCGCAACACGCCAGAGTTCCTACAAAGACTGGGGGGAGAGGGGGGGTGGGGCGCTGAGGAGTCGAGAGCGAAGGGCAGCTGCCCGGGACTCCGGCTGACACGTGGTGAAGGCTGGCCTGTACAGTCAAACCGTATCATAAGGATGCGCGACAAGAGTGCAAGGGCCTTGGACGCCCATTCCGAAGCTCTTCGAGCGGGGCGCGGCCAACGAATTTAGCCAAGGATGGGCCGAGGAGGCAAGGATGCAAGGGTACCCTTGGGAAGGTTGCCCACTCTTATGCGGGTCGGCTGTGCTTGCCTTTTGCCCGTGGAATGCGACGGCGGAGCCGTCGCACGGAGAAGCTCCCGCAGGGGCACGGGGTGGTCGAAGCTGCCCGCCTGCAGGATACGAGGAAGGTGAACATCGCGGAGGAGGAGGACGGCAGGGCGGCAAGAGCGGGCCTTGTGAGGCGGTGGTCCCCCCCATTCACTGTCGTGGTGACTCTGCAACTTGCCGCACGACTGTGGAGAACAAATCCTGCTCCGTCGCCTCCTCCCTAGCCTCGTGTTCCTGCAACTCGTCCTCGTCCTCCTTCTCTTCCTCCTCCTCCTCCTGCACCGCCCCTCCCTATCCGTGCCCTCCTGCCTTCATGCACCACCTCCTCCTCCTCAGCCTCCTCCTCCTCGACCGGCTCCTCCTGGTCCCCACCCCATCCCTCTTCTCCTCCTCCTGCTCCTCCTCCTCACCTCCTCCTCCTCCTCCTCCTCCTCCTCCTCCTCCTCCTCCTCCTCCTCCGCTTCCTCCTCCTCACCTCCTCCTCCTCCTCCTCCTCGCCGTTTCCCCACGGAGCGCGGCGCCCGAGGCTCCGCGGGCGCGATCGGAAGCGGCGCAGCCCGTGGGAGCGATGGCTTGGTGGGTTGGCCGTTCCTGCTGCCGCCCTTTCGGGTCGGGCGAAAGGGGGGGATAGCAGAGGGGGGGTTTGAGAATCAGCTCACGTAGCTGATTTTCCTGGCGCCTCCCGGCGCCAGAGGCGGCTATGTATCGAGGGATGGGCCCCTTGGTGAGGCCGAAACCGGCTGCATGCAGCAAATTTCGTAACCCCCCCTTTCCCAATCCCCCCCTTTCGCCCGACCCGACCCTTCCTGGCCGCGGGGTGCAGAAGCTGGGGAGTCGATGATAGGGAATCGAACTCTGTACACCGACGCTTCCTCCGGCCCTGCATTCGAATTTGCACTGGAGAGCGGATCCTGGTGTATACGGGACCCTGGTGTATACATGTTTCGTTGTTTCCCCCGGGGCATCGGAGAAACAAATATACGCCACACCACCCCAGCGTCGCCCCCGACTCTCGAAAAGTCCTAGTATTGAGAAACAGCCCGCCACTGGTCATGTATATGTTCCAGTTCCCGCCACTGGTGCAGGGCTTGAGCTCCTTCTGCTTTCTCAGCTGCGCGGGGTTGGTCGGAGGTCGGGCTTCGTTGCGGTAATCGTGGCTTTGGCAGCGTGTGTGTGTTGATAGAGGCCTCCTAGATGGGGTTCGAGCTGATGGGGTCCAAGGATCGCGCCGCATCGTCAGTGCATCGCCGTCAGTGCATCGCCGATGTATCGGCGATGCATCGGCGACGCATCGACCTGCATCGACGATGCATCGACGATGCATCGACGATGCATCGGCGATGCGGCGCGATCCTCCGACCCCACCTGCTCGGACCCCATCTGGGAGGCCTGGACTCGAGGAGGAGATGCAGAAAGGGTGAGCTCGCCCAGAGGGGGTTGGGGGTGGGCCTTCCCTGGTGCCTCCTCCGGGCTCGGCCGCCCCCGCGCTCGGGGGGAGGCGGGGTCCCGGGGGGCACGTGCGGCGCGGCCACGGGGCACTCTGGCGCCAGGGGGGTTCCACCCCCCTTCGCGGGTAGCGAGGGAGCGCTCCACTAGCCCTTGCCAATTGCCGATTGCCTCTTCCTCCTCCTCCTTCTCCTCCTCCTCCCTCTCCTCCTCCTCCTCCTCCTCCTCCTCCTCCTCCTCCTCCTCCTCCTCCTCCTCCTCCTCGTCCTCCTCCTCCTCCTCCTTTTCCTCCTCGTCCTCCTCGTCCTCCTCCTCTTCCCTGTTCTCCGTCCTCTGCCTGCTCTTCCTGCAGCTCCCCTCCCTCGGTGGCCTCGCCGCCTTGCAGCCCATCGGGCCCTTGCCGCCGCACACGTTGTTGTCGGGGCTGTTGCCGAAGCCGCACGCAGCGCAGGCCCAGCGGCCGTTGTCCTGCGGTCAGGACGGGAGGGCGCTGCTGGACCCGAATGCTGCCTCATCGTTGTCGCTCTGCGCTTTTCCCCTCCCCCACATTCCTCTGGTCAGCCTGCTCCTCCAGCGTCTTTCGCTCCTGCTCCTGCTGCTGTTCCTCCTCGCCCCCCTCCTTCCTCATCCTCCGCCCCTTCCTCCGTTTCGACCTCCCGCTGTTCATCCGCCACCTCCCCTCCTCCCATGCACGCAGCCCCCCTCTTGCGACTGTGCATGACACAGGAGGGGTCCACCAGGGAGTTCCCCAGACCCCCAACGTCGTGATTCTTTCACAACGTCGACCCTTAGAGGTCTGGCCCTGTTCCCCGGGACCGGTTTTTCATCCTGAGCCGTTTTTGTTGACGGTCCCGGCGCCCGGGAAGGGCCCCAGAGGCCCTGGACTTTCCCCCACGCCCGCAAGCCAAAGTCCAGGTTGCCCTGGACCTTTTTCCCCACGCGTACGGGGCCCAAACTCAGGGCGCCTGGTGGGCCAACGTTCAGGGCGCCGTTGACTTTTCCCAACTCCTGCTGGACTAAGCCCAGGGCGCTCTGGGCTTCTGCCCACGCCTGCTAGGCGAAAGTCCAGAGCGCCCCTGACTTCTCCCCACGCCTGCCAGGCGAAGAGTCCAGGGCGCCGTGTGCTTCTCCAAACGCTTGCTAGGGCGCCCTGTATTTCTTTAAACGCATACGAAACCCAAAGTCATGGCATACTGCGCTGTTTCGCACACCTGCTGGGCCAAAGACTAGTGCGTGATGGACTTGCCCCCCACGCCTGTTAAGCAACAGCCACGGGTTCCTGGGCGTTCTCTTACGCCTGCTAGGCCAACGCCAAGAAGGCCCCAGGCTTCGCCCCACGTTGGCTTGACCGAAGTCCAGGGCGCCCTGGGCTTTCCCCAGCGCCTGCTCGGCGAACGCCCAGGGCGCTCTGGAACCCTCCACACGACTGCTAGGCCACAGTCAAGGCGCCCTTGCTTCCCACATTGGCTCGGCCCAGGCCCGGGGCGCCCTGGACTTATCCTCGCGCCTGCCAACATCTGAGGCGCCATGTGTTTGTCCTTGCGCCCGCTGGGCGAACGTCTAGGGCGCCCTGGACTCTGCCCCACGCGTGCCAAGCCAAACTCTAATGCGCACCGTTATTTTCCCCACGCCCGCTAATCAAACGCCCAAACCACATGCCTGCTAAGCCAACGTCCTACATGCCCTTGACTTTTCCCCACGTCCGCTCGGCCAACGCTAAGGTCGCCCTTGACGTTTCCCAACGCCTGCAAGGCCGAAGTCCAGGGCGCCCTTGACGCTCCCAGCTGCTGCTAGACTAACGTCCAGGGTGTTCTGGGCTTGTCCCCACGCCTGCTGGGCCAAAGGCCAGGGCGCCTTGACGATTTCCCAACGCCTGCTCGGCCCAAGGTAACGGCGCCCTGGTCTGTCCCCTATGCCTGCCAGGCCAACGTCCAGCCCTAGACTGTCCCCCCCCGCTTCCCAAGCCAAAGCCAAGGGCGCCCTGGACTTTTCCCCACGCCTGCGAGGCCAAAGTCCAGGGCGCCCTGGCCTCTGGCCTGCAGGGCCAGCCCAGGGCGCCCTGAACGTCTCCCCACGCCTGCTGGGCTAACGTGCAGGGCGCCCTGGGGCCCGCATGGCTCCACCGCCCCATCTTGGCACACCCCTCCCACGTTTCGTGGCCCCACAGGGAGCTCCACCGAAGGCCCATATCTCAGCGCCTGTATGGCCCACCGCTCCATCGTTGGAACACCCCTCCCACGCCCCGTGGCCCCACAAGGAGCCACAACGAAGGCCAAACAAGTCATCGCCAGCATGGCCCCACCGCTCCAGTTTGGCACACCTCTTCCACGTCCCGTGGCCTCACACGGGGCAACAACGAAGGCCCAAAATGTAGCGTCTGCACGGCTCCACCGCCCAATGTTGCCCCCCCCCCTACGTTTCGTGGCCCCTCCACAGGGCCCCACCTCAAGCGCCCGCCGCATGGCTCCACCGCCCCTTTTTGGCACACCACTCCTACGTTCCGTGGCCCCACAGGGGCCTCCACCGAATGCGACAAGTCCAGCGCCTCCCCGCATGGCTTCGAAGCACCAGTTTGGCACACCCGTCCCACGTTCCGTGGCCCCACAGGGAGCTCGACCGAAGGCCTCAATTTCAGCGCCCGCATGGTTCCACCGTCCCATTCTGGCACACACACACACACCACGATTCGTGACCCCACAGGGAGATCCACCGAAGGCCCAAATTTCAGCGCCTGTATGGCCCACCGCTCCATTTTTGGGAACACCCCTCCTACGCCCCGTGGCCCCCACAAGGAGCTCCACTGGAAACCACAATGTCAGCCCACGCATGGCTCCACCGCCCCATTTTGGCACACCCCTTCCACGCCTCGTGGCCCCACAGGGAGCCCCACCGAAGGCCCAACTTTCAGCGCCCGCATGGCTCCTCCGCCCAATTTTGGCACACCCCTCCCATGCATCGTGGCCCCACAAGCTGCTCCACTGAAGGCCCCAGCGGCAGCGTCCGCATGGCGCCGCCACTTTAATTTGTGCACAACCCTTCCACGTTTCGTGGCCCCACAAGGAGCCCCACCGCAAACCCAAATTTCAGCGCCCGCCTGGCGGCGCCCCGTTATCCATGGGGTGCCACCCCCCTCTTCCCGCCTGCCCTGCGGCAACCACGCCTGCATATAGCTGTGCCCTTCGCCTGGATAATGTTCCTCCTCGTGTTCGTCCTCGTCGTCGTCGTCCTCGTCGTCCCTGCCCTCCTCCTCTTCCTCCTCCTCCTCGTCGTCGTCGACGTCCTCGTTCGTCCTCGTCGTCCTCGCCCTCGTCCTCGTCCTCGTCATCGTCGTCGTCGTCGTCGTCGTCGTCGTCGTCGTCGTCGTCGTCGTCTCTACCTGCCCTTCCTCCAGCCCCGGCGGGCCTGGACCGCGGCGGCCCGCGGCGCGGCGCTGACCGCGGCGCTGATGTTGAAGGTCCGAGGCTTGCTGGCCTCTGCGGCGGCCTCCTCCCCCTCCTCCTCCTCCTGCTCATGCTGCCCGTTATGTGTGGCCTCTGCTGTAGCAATCTCCTGTTCGAGCACTTAACAGCTCTTTGCACAGGGCACACGAATCCCTCGAACACCCGAAGGGGCCACCTCCGAAGGTTAGATCGCATGCTCTGGCAGAAGGCGTTCGCCCGTGCCCAGCAGGCAGCAAGGGCCGCTGGTAAGTCATGATTTCAGATATCAGCTTTTGATGACTGGCGTCCACTCCACTCCACTCCACTCCGCTCCTATCCGCTCCACTCCAAACCATTGGTGCTGGCTCCTCGTTATGTAGAGACAGCGCTCCGCGTTCCTCACCTCCCGCCCTTCCCTCTCGCTCCACCCTCCCCCCCCTCTATGCCTCTGCCCTCCGCAGAACAACCATTTCGGTACACCTCTCACACGCTTCGTGGCCCCATAGGGGAACTCCACCGACGGTCCGAGTGGCAACGCCCACATGGCGCCACCGCCCTATTTTGGCACACCCTTCGCACGTTTCGTGGCCCCACATGGAGTTCCGCCGACGGTCCCCGTGGCAGCGCCCGCATGACGCCACCGCCCAAGTGTGGCACACCCCTCAACGCTTCGTGGCCCCATTAGGGGGGGGCCACTGAAGGCCTAAATGGCAGCGTCCGCACGACGCCACCGCCCAATGTTGGTACACCCATCGCACGTTTCGTGGCCACATAGGGAGCTCTGACCAAAGGCCCAAGTGGCAGCGCCCGCATGGCCATTTTGGCACCCCCCTCCCACGCTTCGTGGCCTCATAGGGAGCCCAAAACACTGAAGGCCCAAAAGGTAACGCCCGCATGGCGCCGCCGCCCCGTTTTGGCACACCCCTCGTGGCCCCACAGGGAGCTCCACCAAAGGCCAAAATGGCAGCGAACACATGGCGACACCGCATTATTTCGGCTGACTCCTCACACGTTTGGTGGCCACATAGGGAGCCTCCCCCCTCGTCCCACCTGCCCTGCAGCAATCATACTTGCCTAGGGCGAGGTCCTTCGCAAAATATTTCCCCAACCATCCTGAATTGCTGGGTCATCGTTTTGAAGAGACTGCGCCACGCGTCATTCCTCCCCCTTTCCTCCTATCCCTGCGCCTGCCCTCCTCATGTAAAACAGCTCGGCACGCCCCTCACACGCTTCGTGGCCCCATAAATAGGCTCCACCTAAGGCCCAAGTGGCAACGCCCGCATGGTGCTACCGCTGCAATTTGCGCATACCTCTCACACGCTTCGTGGCTCCACAAGGCGTTCCACCAAAACGCCCCAGTGTCAACGCCAACATGGTACCACCGTGATGGCACCACCGTGCCCGGTCCGGCACACTCCTCACACGCTTCGCGGTGCCATAAGGAGCTCCACCTAAGGCCCAATGACAACGCCAACATGACACCACCGCGTCCGTTTCAGCACACAATTTTTACGTTCCGTGTCCCTAAAGGGAGCTCCACCTGCGGCCTCAATGGCAGCGCCCGCATTGCACCACCGCGCCCGCTTTGGCACACCACTCACACGCTTCCTAGCTCCATAAGGTGTTCCACCATAGCCCCCAATGGCAGCGCCTGCATAGCACCACTGCGCCCGTTTCGGCACACAGCTCACACACATCGTGGCACCATCACGAGTTTCGACTAAAGCCCCAATGGCAACGCCCGCATGGCACCACCACATCCGTTTCGGCAAACCCTCACATGCTCCGTGGCCTCATAAGGAGCTGCACCTAAGGCCCCAACGACAGCGCTCCGCGTTCCTCACTTCCAAACCCTCCAATCCCTGCCTCTGCCCCCCGCATGTCAAACATTCTGGCGCACCCCTTATTCGCTCCGTGACTACATAGTGTGACTCATCGAACGCCCAACTGGCAGCGCCCGCATGGCGCCAAGCCCTATTTCGGCACATCCTTCTCAAGTTCTGTGACTCCATAAGGAGCTCCACCGAAGGCCCCAATGGCGGCGCCAACATGGCACCACCACGCCCATTTCCGCACACCCCTCACACGCTACGTGGCCCCGTCGGGAGCTCCATCGAAGCTCCGTGGCCCAATATACAGCTCCACCAAATGCCCCAATGGCAACGCACGCATGGCACCGCCGCACTCGTTTCGGCACACCACTTGTACGCTTCGTCGCTCCATAGGGCGTTCCATCAAAGGCCCCGGTGGCAGCGCCCGGTTGGCACCACCGCGTCCATTTCGGCACACCCCTTACGCGTTAGCGAGCTTCACCGAAGGCCTCAGTGGCAGCGCCCGCATGGCATGGCCCCATCCATGTCTGCAATTCCCTCTCACGTTTCGCGGTCCTATAAGGAGCTTCACCGAAGCGGACATCCACAATCGCGGTACCCATAGCTGCATAGGTTCGGGTCCTTCGCCAAAACAACTTCCCAACCATCCAATGGAATTGGGTCCTCGTTTTGATGAGACAACGCTCCGCGTCTCTCTTCCTCCTTCCTCCTCCTCCTCCTCCTCCTCCTCCTCCTCCTCCTCCTCCCCCCTTCCTCCCTTCCCCGCCTCTGCCTTCCGCGTGTAAACACACCGGCACACCCCTCACACGTTCCCCAGAGAGGGCTCCACTGAACACCCCAACGGCAACGCCCAAATGGCACCACCGCATCCACTTCGGCACACACGCACACACACACACACACACACACGCACACACACACATACTTACACCTCACATATTCCGTGGCCCTATGAGGAACTCCACCTAAGGCGTCAATCTCAACGCCCGCATGGCAGCACCGCGCCCGTTTCCGCACACCCCTCTCACGTTTCATCCTGGCCCCATAGAGAGCTCCAACGACCGCCCCACTGGCAACCCCCGAATGACACCACCGCACCTGTTTCGGCACACCCCTCACACGCTTCGTGGCCGCATAGGGAGCTCCACCGAATACCCCAGTGACAACGCCCGCATAGCACCACTGCGCCTGTGTTGGCACACCCCTCACACGTTTCGTGGCCCCAGAAGGAGCTCCACCGAGAGCCCCACTGGCACTGCCCGCATGGCACCACCGCGCCCGTTTCGGCACACCCCTCACGGGTTCCGTGGCCCCCTTGATAGCTCCACCAACGGCCCCAGTGGTACCGCCATACCCATTTCGGCACACCCCTCGTACGCTGCGTGGCACCATAGGGGGCTCCACCGAAGGCCAAAAAGGCAGCCCCCGCCTGGCACAGCCGCGTCCATTTGGGCACACCCCTCATCCGCTTCGTGGCCCCATTGAGGGATTCACATCATGCCCCAATGACAGCTCCTGCATGGCACCACCGCGCTCGTTTCGGCACACCCCTCACACGTTTCGTGGCCGCATAGGAAGCTCCACCGAAGGCCCCGAGTACATGGCACTGCTGCGCCCATTTCGGCACACCCGTCACCCGTTGCGTGGCCCCATTGAGGGCTTCACAGGAGGCCCCGTTTGCAGCGCCCGCATGGCACCACCGCACTCGCTCCGGCACAGCCATCACACGTTTCGTGGCCGCATAGGGAGCTCCATCGAAGCCTTGTGGCTCCATGGGAAACTCCACAGAAGGCCTCAGTGGCAGCGTCCGCATGGCACTGACAACCCATTTAAGCACGCCCCTCACATGTTTCGTGGCTCCATCGGGCGTTCCACCATAGCCCCCGATGGCAGCGCCCGCATGGCGCCGCCGCGCCTAATTCGACACACCCATCACACGCTTCGCGGCCCCATATGGGGGGCTCCACCGAAGGCCCCCATGCTGGCACATCCCTCACACGTTTCGTGGCCCAATGGGGAGCTCCACCGAAGACGATACTCACGACTGCGGTGCTCATAACTGCACATTGCTGGGTCCATCGTCAGGATATGTGTTTCGTCCGACGCCCCTTTTCAGGTTGCATGTTCGCTCGACTTGTCAACTGATCAACACCGTACCAACCATCGCACCGAGCAAACTCTATGGCCAAACCCGCGGCCACACATTCAGCATGGAAAATAGATCGTAGATCCATCGTCTGCGATGAATACGTCTCTATACCCAGCCTCTGCCCGTTCGCCTCCTCATCATCCCTCCTCTTCCCTCCTCCTCGTCCTCCTCGTCGTCGTCCTCCTCCTCCTCCTTCTCCCCCTCCCCTTCCCCCTTCTCCTCCTCCTCCTCCTCCTCCTCCTCCTCCTCCGCCTCCTCCTCCTCCTCCTCCTCTCTCCCTCTCTCTCTCTCTCGATATCATTATGTTCTTCTTCTCTCCCCTCTTCTCAATCACCCTTCCGCCCCCCCCCCTCCTCGCAAACAGATGCCTCTCTCCAAAAGTAGGTCCTGGCTCGCCGATGCTGTGGGGCTGGCAGACTTGCCAGCCGGCCCCGCGCCTTTTCCCGCCGTTTGCCTGGCCACGGGGGCGAGGCGGGTAGGAAGATGGAGAGGAATAGGAGTGGGATGCAGAAGGTAAACGAGCAGGAAGGGTAATTATAGGATGGGGGCGACGGAGGGCGGGGAGGAAGAGCAGGAGGGGGACCAGAACAAACCCAGATTGCAAAGTCCGTCGCGATACTCAGGAGGAGGCGGAGGAGAAGGAGGAAGAGGAGGAGGAGGAGGACGAGGAGGAGGAGGAGGAGAAGAAGGATGAGAAGCAGAAGAAGAAGCAAGAGGACGAGGAGAAGGAGGAGGAGGAGGAGAAGGAGGAGGAGGAGAAGAAAGAGGACGAGGAGGAGGATGGGGAGGTGGGTTGGAGGACACAGTCCGCAGTCACGAGCCACGATGAGGAGGAAGAGGAGGAGGAGGAGGAGGAGGAGGAGGAGGACAACCAGAGCAAATTAGGCTGCAACACGCCCGCAAGTCGCTAGCCCCCTCGCCAGAACGAGTGAAGGAGCTGCCATCGCCGCAGAGGGCGACCCAAAGATGGGCGTCCCAACGATAAGCAAGAGGCGTGCACGAGCACGGTGGCTCTTCGGGACAAACATAGCCTGGCGACAGACCCGACCAGATGCAGCTGCGAGCACCGCAAGACAGGTGGGAACGAAGGGAGGGGACCAGCAAAAGGACTTAGGCGTGCGTGAGAAGGACAGAGCGACGTTGGTGATGGGGTCGCGGGAGTCAGCCACAACGGGTCACATCTGACCTGCCACGGCTGATCTGCGCGTCTGTTGGCCCGGCCCTGGGGAGCAGCAGGGCGCGGTCTGGGGAGCACACAGGCGGCGGGGCCTTTTCCTGGAGCTCCTGTAGGGCCGCGAAGGCGTGCGACACGCATGCGACTCCTGCCGATAAGGCATTCGGTGGAACTCCCAAGGAAGCTGCGAAACGTGTGAGGATGTGCCGAAACGAGTGCTATCATGCATAAGACTCCCGCCACTGGGGCCTTCGCTGGAGCTCTTTATGGGGCCACGTGTGAGGGGTGTGCCGACATGGGCCGCGTCTACGCATGCGAATTTTCTGCGACTGGGCCTCCTCCTCCTCCTGCCTTCCCGCCCTCCTCCTCCTCCTCCATCCCCTCCCCCTCTCCTCCTCCTTCCCCCTCCTCCGCCTCCTCCTCCTCCTCCTCGCTCCGCCCTCATCCTCCTCTCCTCCTCCTCCTCTGCTCTCGCTGCTCCTGGTCCGGCTCCTCCTCCTCCCCCTCCTGCCCCCCTCCCCTATCCTCCTCCTCCTCCTTCCTCATCCCTCATTCCACACCATTCCTACCTTCCCTTCTCCCTATAATACTTCCTGCCCGTTTGCTCTCCATCTCCTTCCTCCTCCTCCTCCCTCCTCCCCCTCCCTCCTCCTCCTCCCCCCCTCCTCTCCTCCTCCTCTCCTCCTCCTCCTCCTCCAACCTCCTCCTCCTCCTCCTCCTCCCTCCTCTTCCTCGCCTGCTCCTGGCCTGCTCCTCTCCTACTCCCCCTCCTCCCCCTCCCCCAATCCTCCTCTCCTCCGCCTCCCTCCTCCGCCCTCCTCCTCCTCCTCCTTCTCCTTATAGAAATAACTTCTCCCTTCTGCCCGTGTTGTTTTGCTTCTCCATCTCCTCTCCTCCTCCCTCCTCCTCCTCTCCTCTTCTCTCCTCATCCTCATCTCATCACTCATCCAATAATCCTCATCCTCATCCTTCCCCTCCCCCTCCCCACCTCCTCCCCTCCCCCTCCCCCTCCTCCTCCTCCTCCTCCTCCTCCTGCCTCCTCCTCCTCCTCCTCCTCCTCCTCCTCGTCCTCCTCCTCCTCCGCTTCCTCCTCCTCCTCCACAATTACACAATATGAAAATACTCTCCCACTTCCCCTGATGGCGTCCCGAAGATATCCGACACCCCCCCGCGTATTGTTTTTACACACAGGATTCCCGGGAAACGGATTTTCGCTTGTGTTTTGTTTTTCAAAATGCTGCTCTCGCTGAGGCGCCGGCCTCATTGCTGCTCCCGAATCGTTCCGAATCGTGCTCCCGCTGCAGCGTGGGCCTCATTTTCGGATCGGTGTTTGGCCTCCGTCGTTCAGGATGGCGTTTTCGCCCCAGCGCGGGCTCTTTTCTCGCGCGCCCATCCGCCCGCCACCACCGCGCCGCACCGCCACCACCACATCCACCACCACCACCACCACCACCACCACAACCACCACCAGCACCAGCACCAGTACCAACACCACCACCACCAGCACCACCACCACCACCACCACCACCACCACACTACCACCAACCACCACCACCACCACACCACCACCGCCACCAACCACCACACCACCACCACCACCACCACCACCACCACCACGACAACCACGCACACACGCACGCACGCACGCACGTGCACCACCACCCTCTACGCACGCGCGCGCGGAGCCACAGGTCCGCTACGACACGCGTCCGCGGATAGAGAAAATCAGCGCCATGGTAAGGGATGGGAGGGAAGGGGTAGGACGTCAGATAAGACGCGAGGGCACCTAGCTTGTCCCCCCCCCCCCCCATCCTCCCCGTCCTCCCCCTCCTTCTCATCTTCCTCCTCCTCCTC